TTTTATTTAAATTTGAATTTGTTTTTTTGAATTAATTAATATATTTTATTAGTAATTTTAAATGTAGGATCCTTACTAGTGGCACTTAAGATAAAGCCATTTAGTTAATTCCATGCGTTGGAAGGTGCATATCTATTGGACAAGAAAATTTCATCCCATTAGATTGGAACTTAATTAAAGGCCATTGATCATGAAGTAACAATTTTACGCAAAACTGACATTTATAACTATAGATTATTACATATGGAAAAAAAAATACTTTTATAATAGTGCCTATATTTTTAAATATATAAATAATTTTTATTTGAGATATCGAACTTTTAAAATTTGGTTTTTTGACCATATATTTAAAAAAAAAAATTAAAAGTGAAAAAAGGGGAATTTTTTTTACTGATCTATTGAAATGCATTATTGCGGAATCCAGTCTAGCCAGCCTATTACGGGACGGCACCATACAATCAGTTTTTTTCGCATGATCACCAGATGTTGTCATTTTCACCTGGCACTCTAGCAGCATCCCGATTGAATTTTTATTTTTTTTCTTATCATTTTCTCACATTTCGCATAATTATTAATTGATATCATAAATAATAATTAATATATTATAATTAGGTTGATAAATGATATAATTGTTATCATTTTACATATTGACGAGTCGAATAACAATTATATTGTAAATAATTCTTATTTGAGTGGTGTGATTTATTTATAATTCTTATAAGTTTAAAATTATGAAATTTATTGTTAATAATTATAATTTGATAATTAATATTTTTTATTCTTTTAAGTTTTGGAAAAAAATCAGATATTTGATCTATTTAAGTTGGATGAATGATGATAATTTCATGAAATGTATAGTTATTCTTGAAACATTACGATATGTAATTCTGAATTCTTTTTAGATGTTTTTAGGTAATTAATAAAAATACTTTCTATTATTTTAATTTCAAATAATTCAAGTGTGAATAATCGGTAGAAATTTATATTCTAAGAGAAAAAAAAAATTCAAATGAAATATTTAAACTATATCACATATTTAATTTTTTCGGGCTAAATAAATTTAGTGTTTTGAATTTATATGAATTCCAAATAATCACATAAGGCGAGAAGAATTATTTGCAGTATTAATTATTGTTTTATTTAATGAATTTAATAATAATTTTTTGAACTAATATTTATTATTTATTATTTTAAATAATAAATGATATTTATATGGAATGGGAAATAGAGTGAAAATTGAAATCAACAAATGTTGTCACATGAAAGCATTTGATAATCACATTGGTCCAATGTAATTGAGTCGGGTTGGACCTCATGTTTTTTTTTTTTTTTTTGGTAAAAACGTTGGACCTAATGTTAAAACCAAATGTTGTCACATGACACGTGATCCTATAGCATGATATATTACAATGGATAGGTTAAAAAGGTCTACCCATTGTACTAAAAAAAAAAAAAAAACAAGGTCTACCTTTATTCCCTTCGATTTTTTATTTTTCTAATATTTTGTTCATAAAGCCCTACTGTTTTTATTTCAAAGTTTAAATCTCAAACATTGTGAACAATACTCAAATATGCTCACTTATCTAAACTACCTTTGTAAACAAGATAAAATTAATAATTCAATATATACCAACTCAACTAATACAAAATAACAACAATAAATGTTGTTTGTACAACATTTTAACAGATATAAGAATGGGAATTGGTAAATGCTGAAGGATGACCTTATAAACTATTTTTTTGACATATTTTTCTATGGACATAACACGCCTCAAAAATACTATTATAATTATAATAACCACTTGAAAATTTTGAAGATCAATATTCGGTTCTTCCTATCTTCTTTTATCTCTAGTATATTGCACCACTTGAGTTGATAAACTCGATGCAAATTGTCAAAAATTGTTCTATGAAAGAGTTTCCTAATCTAGACGAGAGAGTAGATTTGCTAGTTAAACCTATTAAATTGATTAAGTCATCCTAATTGTGAATGTGTTTAGTGATGTCATTTCCGTTTTAACAATCCAATGTTTTTTGGGTTCTAACATCTCCAAATTTCTAACAATTTTTAATAATAGTAAAATATTCCTATAATAGAGATATTGGAAAAAAATAACATTTAAATTATTTAATAAGATTGCATAAATATTGCGGAAGCTAAATTAAAATCAATTTGGCAAAATGTTATCACCGCACCTGTAGCAGGACAAGTGCAAAGCTAACTAAAAGATAATCTTATTCCAAAATATATATATATTCAATGTAAATATTTAAAAATTTAAAATATAAATTTAAGAATCTAAATATATCTAATACATTTATAAATCCTAAGCCTAGTTTGAAAAGTTTGAGATGTTATCCTTACTGCTCAATGCCAGCCCCAGATTTTGCAATCTGCTTCACTAAAACTCTGCTACCCGAAGGATCATTGTAGCACAAAGACAAACAATCAGCAAAAGCTGATAATCTCAATCTAGAACACAACAAAGATAGTCATAAGTTAATCAATAATTTAGAACACAACAAAGATATTCATAAGTTAATCAATAATTATAATCAACTTAAAATCAATCAAGACATTTTATTTAGAATAAATATATCTTAATAAATCAGCATAATCAACTCAATGATATTTTAATGAGGATAATCAGCAACTAACATATTCAGCACAACATTACATAGATGATAATAATCACAATCACAACTCAAATCAAGTATCAAATTCTATTATTAATCATATTTAAGTTCATTTAGTGTATTTAGTGAAAAGAGAATCATGGTAGACCCGGGAAAACCTGTCAGTTTACCCTGTGACTCGAGAAATCCTGTCAGTCACAAATAATCAAATTGGTGATAATCAAAACATCTCTCCCTAGTGTGCATACCTCTTCTCAAAGTTGCTACTAGTATCACAGGACTTAAGAATTGGAGGGACTTTAAAGACTTTTTTTACAATCAAGATTTCATAAGATTGGATTTTAAAGGATTTTAATAGAATTCATAAGATTTGAAAATACAATGTGGATTTATAAGATTTTTAAAAAACATATGAATTTTTAACAAACATTCATAATTACAAGAGTCAATAAAAATAATAATAAAGAAATGCAATGATATTAATAAAAAAGTAAAACCTAATATAATTTTTAACGAACATTCAAAATTATTAAGCAACAGTTCTCCACATATCTAAAGCTATATTAGTTCTCCACGCATTAGCATTTTCTTGTTCCTGCTCTTGGGCCTAATGGGTTGAAAATTATTTTCTTCATTTGTATCAGAGCTATGCATATATGACTGTAAGACCCAATTTTTTAATTATCAAAATAATTCTAAATTTGCATATAGAACCTAAAGTTCATGGTAAAAATTCGTTTGGAATTTTTTACAATTGATATTGGAAACCTTGGGGTTTTTGTTATACGTGATGAGAGTTTTCTAACCATATACCATATGCATGTTTTCATTAAGTATACGAAGAAAATTTTGAATCTAAATTTCTCAGTTTTATTACATGAAAATTTAGAAAATTTCTCAAATTATTTTCAATTGATACATTGAAACCTTAAATTGCTTTGGGGTTTTTGAATAACAAGTTTTTAGTTATCTATTGACATAAAAATTGTTTGAAATGGGTTCCTATAACGAAGGAATTTCGTTCATGAATATATTGTTACGAAACATAAGGTTCATATTATGAAAGTATCTTTCTTAAAATTGATATTGTTTCATTGATCTAAAACGAAAATTGGTTTCAAGGTTTTAGTTCTCCCGTTGTTTTCCTACTGTTTTATATTATTTTTAATACAAAAATCACATATTTTTTTGCCAAAAAAAACCACAACCCGTAACTTGAAAAATCATTTTTTAAAATTTCAAAATCTCTCAAAAATATGTTGTTTTTAGATATATTATATTAAAATTTAGTTGGTTTGTTGTTTCTGTATTGTTTCGTAAGAATCGCTAAAAAATTTGTTGTTTTTGAGTTTTGACGAAGCTGTTGTGGCGAAATTTGATTTCGAGCACTGCAATAGAGAAATGAGAAAATATTACAATAGAGAAATCTCAAGAAATTTTAGGGGTTACGGTGAGATATTGAGTGCGATATCCTATTTACATTTCTCACTAAAAAGTCTAACGAAAGTCCACACCAATAGAAAATTCATTAAAATCGTTAGATTTTTGAATTTTACAAGATGATTTTTCCATTGTTTAAAATCTTGATTGAATACCAACGGATTTAGACGTATTTTAAAATAATCTTTTAAAATCCTAATTGAATACCAATAGATTTTTTTATCCAAATATAATCTATTAAAATTCTTTGAAATCTCAATCCAATATACCCTTGTTGTGTCATTAAAAAAAAGGCAACATATTTCAAACACAATAATAAAATACGGATAACTATAAAAAAAAATATTGGATAAATATTTATTATTATGTATACAAAGAGGAATGTTATACTTACAACTTATTTTTTACAACATCTTACAGTTATATCTTAACATTGTTAATTTTCGCCAATCAACGGTTATCATTTATTGTGAATTAATAATTAATTAATGAGTTTAATTTGAGAAAATTATAACCGTTGATTGGCGAAAATCACCGGTGATAAGATATGATTGTAAGAAGTTGTAAAAAAAAAATTATAAGTATAACTTACCTCATATACAAAAGCGCGACGTTGATTTTAAATTGATTTAACGGTAATTAAATAATGGGAATAACATCAATCCTTTTAAAAGATATAAGTTTATATTCTTTTATATCCTAACCGTTGATTTCCGTCCATCAACGGTTATAATCTATTGGATTAAAATTATTAATTTCCCTTAAATAATTAATAAAAACAATAAGAATAAAATGATAATAAATATAACAGCTGCCTAAAAAATTGATTTTAAATTAAAATAAACGAAAATGTTTTCTTTCCATTCTTTTGGTTATTTTGGATGACAGTTTATCCATCTACACTCTACAGTAATTAGCGGGGAAACGAAACGACAGAGCACCATGAATGAATTTCCCGAAATGAATTCGAGGCCGGCCACGGATTAAATCAATATTTTAATTATTTTGACATAAATTAATTTTGTTGTTGTTGCTGATTTTGAATAATTGTAGTGAAGAGTGCAGACCACCGAATTTGTGATCTACCACTACCATAGTGTACTGGAAGCATTATAAGCATCAGCATCATCTTCTTCTTATTATTGTAGACTACAAATACTACAGAGTCATCAGCTATGGCTCTTCATCTTAACGTTTCAAATTGATAGAGAGAGAGAGTGTGTGTGTGTGTGCGCGTTGACGTACGAAGAAAATGGAGGCGCCCACGTTTGTGTCGAAAGCGAGGACCGCCTTCCATTCTGCTGCTGCGAAAGCGGAGAGGGTTCTCATGGACTTCAAATCCGATCGAGGTGCTCCTCACGCCACATCACCATAACCATAACCTCTTCTTTTTTTCTCTATTTTCCATTTTTTCCATTTCGTTTTAAACGGACGTGCTTTCTTTTCTTTTCTTTTCTTTTTTCTTTCTCTCCTCTTTTTTTTTTTAAAAAAAAATAAATAAATATTTGTTTTGGGAATGAGCATTGACTCAATTTGTTGATTGGTGAAGAAGATCATGATAATCAATCGTCCAGCAACTTGACGAGACAACCGGTAGTTGAATCTCCTCACAACGAGAACGAGAACGAGTCCAAGGTAATGGCCATGGGAATTATTGTTAATTGTTCTGCTTTGTGGTTGTTTTTGAATAGGACTTGGATGAAACGTTTAACTGTTGTTTGTATTGGTTTTTTATTTGCACAATTTGATGCTTTGGAATGTGGTGCCAATGTATGCACTTCCGGGAACTGCATTTTGATTACCGAATGGAAGTGTATGTGTTTGTTTTGTTAGGTTCTTGGTGAAGGTCAATAATGGAAGGGGAATTTAGATCAGGATATTGAGATTGGATGTATCCAAGCTCGTTATTTTAAACTAATGAACTATGTTTCCTGTTTAATTCATTCCATCAATGTCATTCCTCAGAATGTATAATAATTGAGCCTCCACACAAAGCATGAAGATGAATTCCCGGTTTGTCCCTGATTAATTTTTAGAATATTTGCTGTAGTCTTCTTCCCTCCGATCACAACTTTCCAAGGGAAAAAGTTACAATCCGAAATGTGTCCTGGCTTGAAGATGATCAGTACCTGTTTATTAATTTGTTTGTGTTAAGCCTTGGTACTTTTTACTTATTAGGCAACATTTGTCCTGCAGTGAGTGATATTACTTACAAAATTGATCTTTATAATGGGATGGTGCAGCTTCGCAGTCAATCAAAGCATAAAAAGTGGAGGCCTCCGCATATAGGAATAAAGCAGGATTGGCAAGATAAAATTAAGAACATTCGAATAGGGAGAAAAGAAGTTGAAGAAAAAGACAAAGTTGGGGATGCAAGCATGGCAATTCCATTTTATGATGAAAATTTGTACATCTTGAATATGAAGAATGATCTTGAGGCCAAGGTAAGAAAATCTGAAACATTTTAACTCAAGGATTTACCTTCCAATTATGTGCAGATAATTGAAGTTTCTAAACCAATCGGTTATGCCTGGATGTTAGCAAAATGAAAAATGCATGCTGATTATGAACATTTTGTTTTCAAAATAGTCACTGTCAAACTGCTTCATCAACTTCGAGTAAGATAGGAATGCATGGTATAATTGTGATGAATTAGTAATGTATGCTTATTAAGCATCTCATGGTTAACTGCCTCTTTCCAGTAAATCAATTGAAAATACAATTGAGATTTTGATTTGCCAATTCAATTATACAAATGGATTGCTCAATGATGTGTGAGTAAAAACTTGGATTTAGGCTTCAGAAGCAATTCCCTCGGTTGAAAGCCTAACTGCTGCAACTAAAGATCCCATTCCTCCGGCATCTGTGCTGAAGCAATTGGCTATAGCTGTCGAGTAAGTTCTTCTTGTTTGCACTTTTTTTGTCTTTTGTTCCTGCCACTTTCCATGAACTACTCAAAGGTTCTGTTCTATGTTGTTGCATTCTATTTCTCTGGTTGCAAAATTCCCTTTTTCTATTTGGCACTTAATTGTTGAATGTAAGTTTTTTTAATCCAAGAACATAAGATTCTTGTTTCTGTTATTCAGAAAGATTTTCAGCTTAACAATACAGCTATCCTCTTCCTTTAAATTTTTGGACCTTTTGACTAGGGCTGGAAGTAAAAATAAGTCAATGAAAGATTTTATAGCTTCATCAGGAGGTTCCTCACCTGCCAGAGAGAGGGCAGGCTTAAGTCTATCTGCAGTTAAGGCTCTAGTGTTGCGTGAAAAGGAGGACAAACTTAGCTCTGAGTTTAGTAGTGATGAGAAAGTTGTGAATTTGATTAATTCTCTGTTTGATCCAGGTATGTGAATTGCAGGTGGCTTATTGATGATGTAATTTCAATAAAGAACCTTTTTATGCTTGTACTTTTTTTTTTTTCATTTGACATATTATCCTGCGATGATCTTTCACTTTCATTGTAATATTTGCAAGATATTCGCAGAGGGAGATTTCCTTAGAAGAAAGATCAACTCGAATCCTGAGGAAACTGCCATCACATCTTTGCCAAGAGATATTCATGGTGCTCCTCCTGAAAGCCTTGTTGTTAAGCTAGCTGAAATCGTTGGAAACTACAAGACCCTTCGAAAAATGGCTCTTTTCTGGTGCAGGGTTGTTGTTGAAGTATGTATAACTTGATAAGAACTTCTACTTTTGATATCATATAAGCACTGTATTATAAACCTAGAACTCTAGATTTAATTTACTCTCCTGAATGTATTTTCTACAATATATAAGCTATTATCTTAAGTAATTGATAGTTTAAGGGCGTATGATCTTAGAAGTTTGGGATTTTTTTTTTATTGTTTGGGGGTGGGGTGGGTTTTTTTTTTGGCCTTGTGATTATATGTTTTTTATTCTGGTTTGCATAAATCATTCCCCACCTTCCCCTTTGGAAAATAAATAAAAAGTGCAAAAAAAGCAGCAACTCATTCATATGCTATTTTATTTGAATCTTGGAGATGCTTTTCAAAACAACTCAATCCTATGTGACCTGTCAAGTTTGTCTTAATTTTTTTCCCCTTTTTCCCCTCAAATCTGCTTGTCGTTGAAAGAAAAGAAAGAAATCCTATACAAAATTCCTGTTTAGAATTTGTGACTTTTTAACTAGGATTCAGTAAGGCTACTCCATTATTTTCCTTCTTATTTACCAGCTGAAAAGGAATATTTAAATGTTTCTACCTATGCAGCTGAGAAAACTTTGGTCTGAAGAACAATATTTACCTGGAATCCCCCTGGACGAGATTCCAGATCTGAAGTCATGTCTTTTGTATCAACAATTTCAAGTAATTAATTGTTGCATCTCTCGGAAAAGACTCCGTATTATTGCCACCGAATCTCTAGAGTCTATGATGAAGCAAGCTAATTCAAACATAGAAGAAACAGTCAATTATAATGGCGGAACTCCTGCAAGCCCTGTTTTATATGCTAGATTAAATACAGGGGACCTTGTTCTTCGACTTGGTGCAGATTGCCCAACTGGAGATCTGGCATTGTTGGAAACTGGCGAGCCTGTGTACACTCCTGTCACCCAGGTTCGATGGATATTTATTAGTGCTATATTACTATTTAAACTTTCTCTTATGCTTGAAATCTTTTTGACCATTTCATGTAGGAAGGACCTTTGCTTACAGAAGATCTTATCAAAGAAACAGAGGAATTTGTTTTGCGGACAGGGAGGTCTGTAAACTAACTGAGATTCATCTGTGACCCTGTCAGTTATATGAAATTCTAAATCCATTTTCTGTTTTCCTTATATGTAGTGTGTTAATCCCAATTCACTATTTTTTATCACCAACATTCTGAATAAAAAATTCACTGCTTGTTGGATGTGTTCATGTATGCCTTTAAAATTGTTTGGCATGATCTAAACCTATGACCTATTGACCTACCTCTTAACATAATACCTTGTACTCGCTGGACTAAGTGTGGGAATCTAAAACCATACCCATATATGTCTACTTTGATCTGTTTGTTAAATAATTTCTAGAAGTTGAATTGATGGACTAGTTGATCTTCAGAACATTCACAGAATGTTATTTTGTAATACATTGATGACCATGTATCTGTTTCTCATGTGACTATTATGCAAATGCTAGCTTCATTTAACTGCAGGTGTGCATTCATTATGTAATAGTTTATAGTTAGCATCACTTGGGCATTTCTTGATTACAAACTTAACTTTTATGGTCAGTGTCGGTGCTGGGTGCTCTCAACTGCTCTCCGATATGCAGGCCTTCAAGGTCAGTCTCTCCCTTGAAGGGAACTTTTGTTACTGATATTCTGAATGCTTCTAACAATTTGAATGTTCCTAATGCTCTGTCTGAGTAAGTTCTTTTTGATATCATATTTTAGGCAGCAAATCCTGGATGTATTTTGGAGGATTTTGTAAGATGGCACTCTCCTCCTGATTGGACAGATAATGAGACAAGTACTGAGGATAGTGATGTTTTTGATGGTGGTGAGCCGTTGTCTGCTAGAGGTCAGCTAAGTCGGCGAATGCAAAAAGAAGGTGTACTGACAGTCTTTTCCATCCTATAGTTTACTTAAATTCTGCTGCAACACAATTTTGTGGTCTTTTTCAATGTCAATGGACCATCGGCATCTTATAAAATAGTGATTTTTTTTGCTAGAAACAAAATATTTTGTTCACCATATCTTGTAACCAGTTGTGTGAAAATTTTTGCTATATGCTTATAAACTTTACCATAATTTATGTGTTTATTATGGCTTTGATTTCCAATGGGGTTGTAGTTTGGTGAGTTGTGAGGAAGGTATGCATGGAATCCACACTATATATGGCAGGAATTGATTAGTGCAGGCTGATGAAAGAACTTTTGTGGTAAACTCTCAGTTTTAGGTTCTGAATGTCTGACAGTAGAATTTGAATTTTTTTTAATGTTGAATTCATAATTTCATTGTCACTGAATTGACTTGGCATAGATCTTCAGGTTTCATATTCCTAACTGCCTCAGTCAAACCATTAAGTTGAAAGTGCTGACATCTTATGTTTGAATCTTTATGGCATTTATATACTATATATATTGCCAAAATTGAATATCATATATGTATGCTAAAACAAACGGAGAAAAGTAAATCTTGAGCATCGTCTTGGTTTTATTATAACATGTATACTCTGTAAGAAACATAGGCACTGTTGGCCACTTATGTTCTTTTGATTTCATATCAGAAAACTTCTCTGAATTTCATTACATGATGATAGGTAATTTGTGGCGTGAATTGTGGGAAACATCTAAACCAGTGCCGGCTGTCAAACAGGCACCTCTCTTTGATGAGGATTTGGCAGTGTAAGTCTAATATTTTTTTTTTTTTGTGTGTTAATTTATATTTTCCCCTTAATGCCATCTCTTGAATCTCATTTTGCATTCATTTGTAGGGAGGGTATCCTCAATGCATTTGACGACATCCATCCTTCTGAGCTTTTTGGACAGCTGTTTGTTTCTTTAGTAAGTTCTTTCTTTTTCGTTTCACATTTGCTACTTTTATTGTGTTTAATTAGTTTTCATCTGTCATCATCACATCCATAATGGATCTCTAAAGTACTAATATTGGTACTCATGTTAATTGTGTACATTAATTTTTTTTTTTTTGGAAATTAAAATGTTTACTTTTGTGGGAGGCTGGTGACTGAATCTAAAGCAGATTGAAGAATGTAGTGTAGACTTGAGTTCATGTAGGTGCTGCTAAGAACTAAACATTTTTCCTGTAATGCGGGTTATAGAAGAGAATGTATTGCTATCTCGGCAATTTATGTGAGCTCAGAATGGTAAGACTGGCATGCAAGTTGGGCATGTCTGCATGTCCATTCACAAAACCTCCTGGGAGCTCTAATATAAGGCAACATGTTATCGGTGCTAATGGTTGAAAGAACTATAGTTAGCTCAGTTTTACTCTTCAAAATATGCATGCTTGCAGTTTCGCACTCTAGACATTCCCGTCAATCTATAAGCAATAGACAACAGCCTTATGTGTGTATGGTAGAGCTGCTTCTTGAAGTGATTGCTGAGGCATTGACTAATGTGCTACCAGATAGGTGCAAACCTTACTGTCCCCTGATTGGTGAGGAATAATAAGTGTCTTCTGTTGTAAGACTGGCATATGTTAATACAAAGAAAACTGTACAAAGTACAAACATACATATCATCTGCCTACATAAATTTAAAGGAGATGAAATGGAGTATTACTTTAATAAATTGCTATACAGGGAGGTGGGATGTTCTTCCTATTACACAGGACTAATAGCCTGCGTCAATCGAAGAAGACTGCTAGCCTCTACTAGAGTCTGTGTGCTGTGGATTAAATAAAATGTTAAATATAGTTGTTTTTTTTTCTTTTCTTTTTTTGGTAAATGTTGTTTTTTTTTCTTGAATCAAGAAAATGTAGAGAAATCATTTAATAAGACTCTGATTAAACTTAAAAGTAAGATGAAATCCTGGCCATACAGACTTCAACGTGTAGGCTATTAAAGTTCTATGAAGATTAAAGCATTTGCTCTTTTATTTCACCAATTTTTGATAAAAAGAATTATAATTGTTCTTAACTTTTAATTATTTCAGTTTTTTTTTCTTAAAGTTACATAAAGAGTTTATTTGTCAAAATATTACTTAATTGATGAATTATCCTAATATATGATCCAGTGATTATATAAGCTTCTTGATAGAATCCTGCCTGTTCTTTCTTTGAACAAGTTGACTATATTTAATTGATAGATGATTGTTAAAAGAAATTTTTTCCATTGATTTGGTTATTCCTTTTTTGTGCCTTTCTAATCATAAGCGTTGGTCTTAATTGTATAGCTTGGTTTAGGATTTGCAATTGCTGAACCTGTGCTGTCTAGTAGCAGTGACTTCTCAAAGTTGTTTTGTGACTGCAAGGACTACATAGTTGCCACGTGTCAAGGCAACAACTTGAGTGAGAAAATTGATGACCTTCTCCAGGTGGGTACTCTTAGACTAAATGGCTGTTACATGAAACTATATAGTATCTGCCCAAATCCTTGTGAGGCATTTCTTTTTTGATTATACCTTAATGAAATGGTCAATATGACAATATGTAACCGAGTGGAGAAAATCCTTGCTTTATGCACCTATTTGAAGAGTCGTTCACTATATAAACTTATGAAGCAGAGTCTTGAGAAAAAACACTTTGGGACTATCAAATTGTTTAAAACTTTCTCTTCTACTTTAACACAGCCTACCTTACAGGACTGTTTAGTTTGGTTTTTTTGGCATATAGGCTCCTTCTGCAAGATAACCCTACCTGTGAGCCCATGGGGATGAAAAATAGTTCCTCTGAAATGTAAATGCAAAAGATACTTGCTGTTGATGATTTTTATGTGCAACTATTTGATAGTAATGTCATTCAATAGAGAAGTTAATGCTCACATCCTTGTGTAGGTATATGAAACAGTGGAGACAATGTTACTGAATCCTGAAGAGGCACTAAAGATGATGAAGCAGTCAGAAGAATCAACTACGATTACTGGTGAGCTAAAGAGCCCGTTTAAGAGGCTAAGGCTTATCTTTGGTGGTAAAGATAAACTATTGAGAAAGTCTGTATCAAAAGATAAGATAAACGATGAAGAAAAGCCAATTCGGCAATCTTTCTCAAACTTCTTTGAGAGCAAGTCATCTTTATTTTCAAAGAAGCCTCCTAAATCTGAAAGTCTATCCCCTTCTGAGAAACCTTCTCTTGAAACTCATTGGACAGCTAATTAGACAAAATTTATCTTCACCCTGTTTATTTAGGATAAGCAATTTTTTATTTTTATTTTTGGTTCCCCTTCCCCCCCTAAGCAGATAACTGTAAATTTTCTTTATACTTTTTTCCAAACACTTGATTGTTGAATTCTGAAGCAAATTGTAAATGACTATGGAGATGGTTTTATCATCTGAATACAAACTAAAGATACAACGAAAAGACAAGTTTATCATCCTGAATGCAGTTCACACATTTTAGTAATCCTGTTTCTTCAGCCTTGAACCCTAGACTACTATGGGTGTGCCTGCCTATTTATCTTTTTTTGCATTTACATCATCAACCTTCTGGTCTGCTTTTAGTTCATCAAATCCGTATTGCTTGGTAAGAAACTCTGGCACGATGAAATTTGCTATGAAGTATACCGATAGAAGCAGAGCACTGCAATGTGTAAAGGAAACTTGAGTACCTTCTGAACTTTAAAGACCAAAGGATGAGCAGAAAATTATCTTGTTTAAGTTTGCAGTAAATTACATTTTGGAGTAAAAGTCAGTTAAATCTTCTAGTGTCAAATATGATGACCATGAAATATCAAATGATGAATAAGGGGAAGAAAAAACCGGACCTCATTGGGAGAAAGGCAGAAAGGTCACCGGATTCGGCTGGGGCAGTAGCAGCAACAACAATGGAATGTGGAAGTGCCTTGGTCCTTAAAGGACTTGCTGAAGGAAAGTGCTGGTTCTGTGGAACAGTCCTGCTTGGTTCGCTGGTTGAAAGCCAAAACAGTTTGGTGGTATGCCCTATAGGATGTTGCTGCACTTTGAGTTTTGTATGCATGGGAAGCAATGAAGAGTGGAGCTGGAGGCACATCATGGGGAAGGTTGTATTTGTTCAGTTGGAAAGCTCCTCCTTAGAAAGATAGTTTTGGTTCACTGTAGTGCGGTCACCCAGTCTGCTTGGGATGATGTTTGGAAGGGGTATATATCATCCTTACAATTCCACAAAGGGTCCCATTTTTGTATGTTTGTTGTAGACAGTTTTAGACCCTTAGGTGAAGTTAGTCTATCTTTTCAAAGCCTATAAAGAATGAAGACATAAGCATATGGAGTTATGGATAGTAAATGGTGGGTGGCCCAATGATGGAAGCGTTTCCTCAGTTCTTAGCTGGTTGGCCTCGATTCTCTATTATTTCGAATTTGCATCTCGTAGTTTATTGGCCATTGCTAGTTAAAATTGAAATTTTACCTAAAATCAGAAAGAAGATAAAAAATCATAAAACATAAAATACTAATAAAAAAAATCGTAAAAACATAAAAGCGTTTGAAATTTTAATAAAATTGTTTTAGTTAAAAAAAATCATAAAATCATAAAATCACATATTTAAATCGAAATTTTAACTACCATGTCTGGTCCAAACTTCTTTTGCATTTTGGATTGTAAATGGTATCTTTTCTTTTTAAAATCAATTTTGTACAAGTAATATTTTATTTTCGTTCATTAAATAGATGCTGGTGAAGGCATTTATGTATACCAAGTACCAACCCCGTGCAGCTTTCTCGGTTTCTTGTTTGCACCGTTGGGAGAAGCTTGGGACTGATCACTCTGGAGCAGTGTTTTAAAATGTTAGCCCGCCTCTCGAGTTGATCCGGATCAATTCTGACCCTTTTCTTTTGAGGGTTGGAGTCACAACTTGGACTCTATATGCATATCGACTCCTCCGACTCTCAAAATTCTACTGGATTTCAGTGACTATCGGGTCAGAAGGGTCACTGCATTTTTTTTTTTTTTTTTATGAAACAACATCGTTTTATTAAAAGAATAAAATAAAAAAGCTTGCAAACCTAAATCTAATCGTTCTCTTCTCTCTCAATGACCTAAACGTCTTCAATCTTCACCTCGCTGCCGTGAATCTTCGAGAAAAGGTAAAAAATTTACCCGTTCAAATGAAATCCTTACTGTCGTCAATGGAAAACAAAAACTCATTCTTACTTCCTTAAAATTTTCCTTTATCAGGGACCTTCTCAAAAGAGGCAAACCGGATCAACATAGTGACCCCAATAGAATATGAGTTTTGTACTTTGATATCTTGATACTTTAATTAGGTTGTGAAATAGTGGCTTGTGGTTGTAATTTGTGAGTTATATTAAGTATATTTTGAATCTTTGATTATTTGTTTTTTAATATTTTCATATAGGATATATATATTTATATTTTTTTAATATATAAAACTGGGTCAGCGTAATGACCCCGTAATCCCCCGATTGAACCCGTGACCCTGTGACACGTGACTAGGGGTGTAAATGGGCTGGGTTGGGTCGGGCTTTGGCCTTCCTGACCCAAGCCTACGTAAAAATTCAGCCTATCTAGCCTATTGGCCTATTAAAGGCTTTATTTGTAGGCCAAACCCGGCCCATTTTTAAAATAAGAAAGCCTGACATGGCCTACAGGCCTTGTAGGCCTCCCACTGTAGATACTAAGCAAAAAAATTAATTGTATAAAGCAAAGAAAGTTCCATTCGAAGCATGAAAACAAAAGAGTGTGCAATAAGGAATAAAATTGCATAAAAAATAAAAACCTTGTCAATTTGTCCAAGAGAGACACCGATCTGAAAGTGTTGAGTGAGTGATTGAAGTCTTCAAGTTCTGTGTACAATGAAGAAGATCACAAAAAAGGGGCTTTTGGGAGGAAAAGAAAAAGATTAAGAGAAAGAGGAGAGAATGAACGTACGCTGCGTAGGGGTGTTCATCAACCGATTCAAACCGCGGTGACCGAACCGAACCGAAAAACAAAAACCGATTAAAAACCGCAAATTTTAATTGGATTGGATCGGTTTTTGGATGGGTTGATGAAAACCGATCCAATATATTAATTTCTCTCTACCTACTTGGGTATTTCCCTAATCATAGCCTAAAAATTTCTAAACCCAAGACCCATTAACCCATCAACTAAACCCAAGAAAAAATCTAGTCATATCTGATCAACAAAATTTTATCTTTGTAGAGCTTCATATCTCATTGTCAAAATTTAAAAAATTATATTATAGTTTACTAATGCTTTTGTATTTAAAAAAAAAAAGTTTACAAAGCCAATATATACAAAAGATGTTATTTGCACAATAATCATGAAATAAATTTTAGGATTTTCAAAGAACCAAAAACCGAAAACCGATCCAATCCAAACCGAAAAAAATTGGATCGGATTTGAAAAAAAATCAAAATCGAATGGATGATTATATGATCAAACCGAAGGGATTGGATCGAAAAAATTTTGCTTCCAAAATCGATCCAATCCAGACCGCGAACACCCCTAACGCTGCGTACCTAAACAAAGGAGCTCCAAGCAGAGGTGGCTGTCGAAAATGGCCGGCTACAAGCACAAGGGTTCTAAGAGAAAAGACGAAGCCGAGAGTGAGAAGCGGCGGTGCACATAAAAATTAGGGTTGGTATTAGTACTTTGCCACATAAAATAAATATTATTTTATCATTTTATTTTAATAAATTAAATAGGCCAGCCTACAAGGCTGTAGGTCGGGCTTGACAAAATTGGCCTATGGCCTATTTGTTAAAAAAATTATTTTATAAGTCTAAGTCTACTCTACTTTTCTGAAAGGCCGGGCTAGACTGGGCTTAATGTAGGCCGGGCTGTAGGCTGGGCCGGGCTGTAGGCTGGGCCGGGCTAACTGGCTCATTTACACCCCTACCCATGACCTCGGCCGAGTCGATGGCCGGCCGAGTTTTTAAACACTGCTCTGGAGACTAAAGGGTTCATTTTGAAGATGAGAAGACGTTATGTTATAGTTTATGTAAATAAATAATCTCTTTTTACATAGGCCTCGAAAATAAATAAAAACACAAGCAAATTATTAATGGCTCAATTATTTGTATATTGAGATTAGCAATATATGCTTGGAAAAAATAATCATTATAAAATAAATGATTGAAAAGACAAAAGTATGGTTCTGATTACGATTAGGGTTAAGAGTTCCAATAAAATAAAATAAAATATAGTAGTTGACATATCTTTATTCATTTTGATCTTCTCAAACTCAAACTCTTTGTTAAAACACTAAGGGCTCGTTTGATGGACAAGATATGATAAGGGTAGGATATGATATGGGGCTGATAAAGGTAGGATATGATATGTCGCTGATAAGCCTATATTGTAACATCCTCTACTACTGACTAGCATAGAGGATATCACATTAATTCTTAAGAGAAATTATAATGCAGTGGATATGAAATAAGACATGACAAAATGCCCTTAAAATGTAATTATTCAGAAGTCAAGTTCACTATTACATCAGAAATACATCATAATCTCAACTAAAAAGAAACATTTTCTTTCTATTAATTTGCTCCATAGTCTCCAAAGTCTTTAGCCATAGTGCTTTATCCAACTCCAAAGCTACATATACTGGTATGTTTACTCAGAAAAGATTAGCATAAAAACAAACACACGTGAGATAAATCTCAGTAATATTGGGGTTTTTGAACTATAACCAATCCAGCCACTTTAGTGGAAAATATCATTCTCACAGAATAAATTTATAATAAGAAAATAATATCATAAATAATAAATATAAGCTCAACCTTTGTGGGTTCTTCATTTAGTCACACCCAAGCCTTTGTGGGTTTTACCCAAACTTTGTAGGTTTCTGTATATAAAAATATATAGGAACGTGTAATCTTTAACTGAAATGACTAATACTCAATTCTGGAGCGCCCAAACTCTGTGGGTTCTGTATGTGAAAGGTTCTATATGTCGGAGCTCAAGCCATAATAAGGCGCCCCTTACCCTATAACCATTCTGATCCCCTTGTGGGCCAGTCACATCAGAATTATTTAGTAAAAGATTACATATTCCATTAGTATTCATTTGGTACCAAAGAAAATCTTTAATTTCTATAAACTTTATTCAAGATTATTCTCATATCTAATATAACTAAATTCATCAAATTCACAAAGCCAATTATAAAAATAAATTAAAAGAGTAGAAAGAATTCATAAAATAATTTTGGCAGAGTAACGACATCTTTATAACTTTAAAGAAAAAACTTTAAAATACCAACTTTAAACATACCATAGATAACAACAAAACAACATAGTTTTCTTAAATATCTAAAAATTAACTTTAAAAGTAAAGGAGAAAATGAGTTGATTACTCTCAATATTACATTTCTTCTTCTTTTTCCTTCTTTTTTCTTCTTCCTCTTTCTTTCCTCCTCTCTCTCTTTCCCTTTCTTTCTCTCTCTCTCCCTCTCTCTCCTACTTCTTAAGTTTTTAAATGGGTGGGGGGGGGGGGGGGGGTATATAGATTTTCAAAAAGGAATGTAATCATTACTTTTTATAAAAATCTAAAGAATCTTAATCATTATGTTTATAAAAATCTAAGGAATCTAATCATTACCTTTATAAATGTCTAAGATATTTTATTCTTAATATCTAAGATATTTTGCTAAATATCTAGGATATTTATATTTTATTATTATTATTATTATTACTTTTAATATTACATATATCATGTCCTGTGTTTGATGAGCACCTGATTAGCAATCTGATAAGATTATGTAGAAGGAGAAAGGAAAAATAAAAAATAAAATATAATGCAATAAATACAAATATATTGGGTGGCGTGGGGACATATTGGGTAGCGTGTGGATATATTGGGTATCCAATATTGGTATCCTATCTTGTTAAATCCTAACCCAGTTGCCCCCATAGAAAAAGAAATCATGTATTGGATAGGATAAAATGAGACAACAGGATAAGCTAATCATATCCTATTGACCCACCAAACAAGAGATAAAAGTATGATATGATAAATTATCTTATCCTATTTCCTTTATCATGTGCTCTAAACAGGCACTAAATCAAATATATTTAGTAAAGCTAAATTACAACAAAACACAGATGATCGTGACTTTTAAAGGATTATTGTATTATATTTTGGGCTATTGTTTTTTTTTT